AATATAGTGGCACTTTATGAATGAGCCAATGCTTTGAACTTAGTGATCGGCTCCTCTCATTGTGTTATGTGATCTTCACATCATTGTGCTCATACGTCATGTCTATAAAAGACATGTAAACTTACAAAGGCATTTTTAGAGGAGAGGTCCTTGGTCTTTCAGGAAGTATAAACTATTATTCTGCTTCTGTATTTAAAGAATATTTGTAATCTTTATTATTCTTTTGGAGTTAGAGGTATGTGTTTTCATTAGAAAACATTCATTATTCCCCCATTGTTAATTTTCTTGCTCACCTGACGACCCAACCATCTGTCTCTGTGTGTATCATTTATTTTTCCCAAAGTACCAGTATCTGTAATTCTTCCAAGAGAAAATGGCATTCAAGTGATTTGGCATATAGACACTAAAAAGAAGAAAGAAATCCCCAGAAATGTGTTTAAAAGACAGAGGTTCTTTGTTCAGTGTGATTGGAAGATGGAACACTAGCAGCTGCCATCCAACTACAGAACCACTCTGTTGATAAGTTCTCACATGTTGAAGAGGAAGCGTTGTATTAGGTTTCACAAAAGGTGCTTGCTGGCATCGGGTAATGGCTGGTTGCTGCTTATGGGTAGGCATGAATCTCTAAAGCTGGCAGCACCCCTAGGTCTATGCCTTTCAGAACTGGTGGAGACACCAAGGACTATTAATCCAGCCTCCTAATTTTTCAAATGAGGGACTAATGCAAGGTTCAGAGAGGTGAGTGGATTGTCTAAGTTCAAGTAGGATCCTGGGTGCCTGGCTCTATACCCCAGTGTTGTCTCCATTTGTGTTTTGTGTCTATCTTAGAATTTGTCTATTTGTCTGTGACCCCACCCCATGGCCTCTTGGTCACAATTGATTGTTCTAGGTTTGATTCCTGACTAATACTAGGCCAGTCCGGTTCCCCGTCTTTCTGAGTCTGATTGACGGCCCCAAGAATGGTAAATCTGATAAAGAGAGGAAGTCTCTTTGGTGGATTAATGTCAGGTATACAGCTCAGGGCTGTGATGGGCATTGTCATCCCTAGTAGAGGAAGCTATTTTTGGCTATTCTTGAAACCCATCACATCCTTACCCTTCCAGAAGTTTGGATTTTTTTCTCTTGGATTTTTATGAGCCAGCAATCATTCTTTTTACTTAAAATCATTCTACTTGCAATTCTTGCACTAGCAATCAAAAGAATATTGATTAATATTCCCACTGACTTCTTTATTTCAATACTTAGAGTGATTCTCCTTTTCATTTCTTCAAATTCTTCATCCTTAAAGATTATGGCACAAAATACAATAAGTAGTTGTCTCATTTGTTTATAGTCTGAGTTTACAATCTAAATGATGTCCAGATTGTACACATTTGATCACAGTGAATGTGTTTCTTACCATCTGTAATTATAATTTCATTCCAGAGCAGTTATAGATTGGGGCACTTAAATAATCTATTTGAGACATTTTATTAGGGTGAAGGAAGCTTAATTATTATTATTTCTTTAATCTTCACTTATTTTAAGCAACTCCTTGTATATATATTAATATTTTCCCATTTATTTTTAGAAAGTGGAAGGGAGAGCGGGAGAGAGAGAGAGGAACATCAGTGTGAGAGAGAGACATCAATTGATTGCCTCCTATATGCACCCCTACTGAGGCCTTGTCTGGAAATTGAACCCATGAACCTTTGGTGCGCACGCTGATGCTCTGTCCGCTGAGAAACACCAACCAGGGAAGACACCAGTTTTCTGTATGGGTACAGAAAGCATCTACCACAGTGCCCAACATGTCACTCCATGTTAATTTTTCTTTTCTTACTGGGAACAATAAGAAATAGTGTTTCCTTTTATATAGAGAATATTTAACATTTTAACAGGGAAATTGATACCCTATCACCACCCCTCCTAATTGCTGAATGTCAGCTGAGCCCTGGTTCCAGCTGTTGTAGAAGGTTATCCAGTTAGGTACCTTAATAGATTTTGTTCAACATGATAATCTTTGAGAAGGTAATCTTTGATAATCTTTGAGGAAACTAGGTCTTGTCAAAGTGCATTGACAAGTAAGAAAGAGTGGAGATAAACGCATGTGTTTAAGCTACTAAGTTTAACCAGAGTTCCCCCCAAATCCAGTTTGGTTGCCTTTTCTTTTTACCAGCAAAATGCTATAAAGTGTCTTCCTACCATCAGTATTGCTACCACCAAATGTTTAGCACCTTAGAGGTTACAAAGTTCACGTATACAAAATCAATCCTCACAACAACCCAGAAAGATGTCTTTTAATTAAAGAAGCTGAAGCTTGGGTTGTCTTTAAATATGTCTTGCTTAAGAACACAATTGTGACCCTGGAACCAAAAAAAAAAAAGTCTTCTGTCTGAGTCAGTATTTTTTTTTTTAATATCACAGTGATAATATGAAATCTGAATACTTCCCATGACAAATTTGGAATCTTTAGATATCGCTAATCCTTGTTTCATTAAATTATCGAATGAATTGATACAAAGGATGAGGAACCCTGATATTAAGCTTCCCTGGTGAACTGGGACCCCATCCCCTTCAGAGCACTCACATACTGTCTTATCATCCTCATGCCGCACACCACACAAGTAAGTCAGAAGTGTGTGAGTGTGTTTGTTTTGAGGAGGTTGGGGTTGGGGATGGGGATGGTGGTGCATGAATGAAAGCATTTGTTAGTCACTAAGAGGGTTTGAAAGGTGAATCAGATATCCTCACCTCACAGACCTTGGGTCTGTATAAAGGCAGTGAGCTGAAGAACAGATTCAGTTAATAGGAAGAACGGGAGCCTGGAAGGACAGTTCATAAACATAGACCTTGGGGAAATGAGATACAAGGAGTCCAGTTTGGCTGGAGCATATCATGTGTAAAAATAAATAGGGAGAGAAGGTTGGGAAGGGAGAGAAGGGCTAGGCCAGGGTAAGGAGTTTGAACAGCATTTTTGGGGCAGTTGGGAGCCATTGATGGTTTTTGAATGGTTTAGTGATGTGATCATAGCTTGGGCACATATTTCTTATTAGAGTAAACTTTGATATCTCTGTTTCCCATGCCCTTCATATAAACAGCCCTGTTGGTTCTACTTACAGAATAAACCGTGGGCTTACCACCCTGCTCCACTGCCACTAGACTCACCCAAGTCCCTGTCATCTCTCAGCTGGGTTGCCATGGCAGCTTCTTTGGTGGCTTGCTGCTTTCACTCTTGCCCTGCCAACCAGTCCAGTGCAAGTAAAAACTGCCATTGTCCTGGGTAAAGCCCTGTATCATCTTTTCATCACTCTTGGAGTAAAATCCAAACTCCTAGTGTAATCCTACATGGCCTGGCCCTGCCACTCTCTGAACACATGGTTTTCTGTCTCCTCCCCTCTCTCGCTTGGCTCTTGCCACTCTGGCCTCCTGTGTATTTTCTGAACCCATGCTCCTCCCACCTCAGAGTCTGTGCATTTGCTTGGTTGACCTGCCTAGAATGCTCTTTCCCCAGACCTTCACATGATTATTAGCTCCTTACCAAAAGATGCGTTCCCTGCCCCTTGATGTACAGTAGTCCCTGCCCCAGTCACACCCTCTGTCATTTACTGGGACTCATTTTCTTCATAGCACACTTACTACTGTCTAAATGGGTTTCTTTATTGACTTGAGTTTATTGTCCCCCAACCTGCTCAACTAGATGTGAGCAGGGATTTCGTTTTGTTCACTGCTGTATCACCAATACTTAGAAAAGCTCTAGCACACAGTGCATATGTATTGAATTAATAAAGTTAGAGATTTGAATGAGTGGAGCAGGGAGGCTGACCGGAGCCTGCTGCAGTATGTGCAGTACAGGGTGCACTGAGAGGTTTTTCAGAGGAAGCAAGGGGCAGAGGCAGGATTTGCCATGGCTTGGAGTGCTGAGTCATTGGAGAGGGAAGAGGTAGAGACATTTGAACTTGGACCAGTTATAAGGAACCCAGGATTCTTTTGGACACAACCAACCATCTTCATTATAACGCATCCTGTACTCCTGCCTTCAGAAGAACGTGAAGCCTCCAACTTCTGGTGCTCTTGGGTTTTATGACAAAACTGGGTGATTTACTATAGATGTCCCCTCACTCCAACCAACCTCTCCTCCACCCACCCACCCACCCACCCAACTCCTTGGAAGCTTAGGTTTCAGCTTTCATAGGTCTCCTTTGCCCGTTTTCTTTCCATTTTCTAAAAGGTCATTTTTTTTTTCTTGTCTGTCTTTTTCTCTGTCCTTATTGGGCCTTACCTTTTTTCTTCCTTTCCCCTCAGCTTACTGGGATATGAGGAAAGATTGGAAATAAACGCATGTGTTTAAGCTACTAAGTTTAATCAGAGTTCCCCCCAATCCAGTTTGGTTGGCTTTTATTTTTACCAGTTTCTTTGATAGCACTGGGGTTCACATGTTTGAAGAAGATGTCCTTGGAGAGGAGGCCAGAGGGGTCCCAAAATGCCGTGCTCTTGAAATGCTCACCAACCACTGGACTCTCATAGAAATGGAATTTCACCCTTATTTGTGTAATCCTTCGGGAGTGTTTTAACATGTTGGTAATAAAATTTGTGGCTTATTGTTTAAAATTGAATTTAAGGTACTATATCAAACCTTTTGGTGGCATGCCCCTGACAGCAGGGAGAGCCTGGGAAGTGATCCCTAAGAGCTGATCAAAGGGAGTTGCTGAGCATTTTTCCCCCCGTATTTGTGTTTGGTCCTTTAATCTGGTAGTGTTTCCAGTTCCATTCTGAATACAGTAATGCACACTCCACCCCCACTCAAGTCTTCTTGGCAGCATCTGGCACCGTCTTTGCCAAATGACCCCTGTTCAGGCATCGGCCTGCCTTTGCTATCAAGCCTATACAAGGCAGGAACAATGGTGATTGTCAGGAAATGGGCATCGTTCAAGATCTTATTCATAGCACGTTTTTGTTGTAGTAATCAAATGAAAATAGTAAAATTGACTGAGAAGTGATCACTAGTCATTTCTGCCTAGGTTCACCTTTCCTGGCCAGTGAAGACGGTGTGCTTGGAGGAGTGATTGTTCTTCGATCTTGCAGATGTTCTGCAGAGCCTGACTCCTCCCAAAATAAGCAGACACTTCTAGGTAAGCTGGACATAAACAGTATGTGTGTGTCTTTCTTTCATATTTTCAAGACATGGAAAGATTTATATTCTTAAGTCAATAAGCTGTGGGAGAGCCAGGATGCTCTGTTGACATGTAACGTTCTCTAGTCTCCTGATCTTTTTGCATAGATAAACATCCAAAAGATGACTGTTTACTTCTGAGTCTGTGTGTAGAGAATAGTTTTCAAATGGGCTTAGAACCAAGGACCTTCACAAAAGCTCAATATTAAGAATATGGGACCATGTATTTATCCCCTGCCTTATTCTACAAAACATTTGAGATGACCTATAACAGTATGCACAGTAACATAGAGTTCCTTCCTGTCCTCCCTCCCAAAAAGGAATCAGAACCATGTGAAGAACTACTGGCCTAGAAATCCATCCTGACTCCATCCCTTATTAGCTGCGACACCTTCATGCATCAGTCTTACTGCTCTTTGTCACTTCACATCTGTAAAATAAGGACATCTGCCATGTCCTCTCATAAAGCTGTGGTGAGGACGGACCAAATGAGTGTTTTTCAGATTTGCAGATGTTCATCCAGATGTGTGCTTTTGTGTCTAGCCAAATGCATCAGTGGGGATAAAACCCAGCCTGCCCTCCACTTGCCATGGCCCAAACTTGTAGGCTCCCTCTCCCCTGGGGTATCTTTTTCTAATTAATTCACCCAGAGGTGGTATTTTTTAAAAATCTGCATAAAGGTACCACATAAACTAGCAGGGAGCCCTGTATGTTATTTTTTTTATTGACTTTTAAATTGAAGTTTACATACATGCAGAAAAGTGCACAAATCATAGCTGCAACTACTTGACAAATGATTACAAAGTGAACCCACCTATGTAAGCAGTACCTTTATAAAAAAAATAGAACTTAACCACAGCTCCAGAACACCCTTGTAATCCCTCCCTCTCTCTATCCCTTCCAAAGTTAACCACTATGCTGACTTCTAACACCATGATTAGTTTTGCTTGGTTTTATATTTTATATAAATGGAATCATAGGATGTGTACTATTTGTGTCTGATGTGTTCAGGCAACCTTAAGCTTATTAGATTCATCCATCTTATTAGACATGTCATTAGTTTGTTCATTTCCATTGTTGCATAGTATTTCGTTGTATGGCTATTCCAGTCTGTATTTATCCATTCTTCTCTAAGTATTTTTTATATGAGCAGTATAGGTAATGCACAGATAGTTCAGACCTTTGTATCAAATTCCTTATAGAAAGTGTGGGTGGTACCTGAACTATGTTGTATGATTGTTATGGTACAAGTCTCTTCATACCCTGAGCTTCTGTGAGTATAAAATAGAAGACTCAGCATTTCTTATGAGTGTAAGCAGTATTTTCTCTATAGAAGCCCAAAGAGCTTTCATAGAATCTCTCCCCTCATTCCTCAAAGGAAAAAAAATGTACTTTTATATAAAGGGCCTTTTTCTCCACCTGGATTCTGACCACCAACCTCATCATATTTTTGGTAATCTCTCTTTCTATCCATTATACTTGGTACTGATTTGACTTTGGGAAATTTTTTTTTTAATGGCCACCTTTTAAAAAAACAAACAAGTCTATAATAATGAAAGCTTAATATGCTAATTAGACCAGACGACCGACCTTGCTGAGGAAGCCAGGGCTGTGAGGAAAGCGCAGGTCTCGGATGCCTGCCAGTGGCTGGAGGGAAGCCTGGGTCCTGGGTGTCAGAGGGAAGCCAGTGCTGGCAGCCAGGGGAAGAAAGACCTACTCTTGCATGAATTTCGTGCATCAGGCCTCTAGTAAATAAATAAATGGCCACCTTTTGTTAAACGAAGGCACATTAGCCATTTGCTTCTTAATCATTGCTGAATCCTTTGAATATCTTTCCCAGTAGATAGTAGGGAGTTTGGTTTTAGAACATGCAGAGGTTGTAGCTGGGCCTTCCAAAAGAACTCAGAATAGCCCTTGGTACGCGGTGTTGGGAGGGCAGTTATTAAAACTGCTTCGTGGACTGATCCGGACAGAGGGTCACTTCTTTACTGAGCCTGGACTCTTGCCCATTAGAGTTAATCCTGAAGATTGTAAGGTATTTTTGGTGGTATCATATAGAAATGCACATTTAAGGATAACTCATAGAATTTTTGCTTGTGTTAAACAGTTTTTATTAGCAAGTTAGTAATTTTCTCTGTCTTAAGAAGAATGAAATGTAATGCCAATTTATGAAATAAGTGAAATTTGTTAAAGTGAACTAGAGGGATTGATCTTTGTGAGGTTAATCTACTAAAACCCAGTGAATACTAGTATCAACTCATAGATGCTACACACTACATGGTTGTTTACATTTTTGGCTTTGAAAAAGTTATGTATATTCAGTATGTAGCATGAATTCAAACATGGTACAGAAGGATAGGAAGGGAGACGGAAAGTCATCTCTGCCGCCCCATTCTCAGAGCCACCAGTCTCTGGATCTGGTTATTCTCATGGGAAGCACCTTCACTCCATAGGATGTATTCATGCTTCTATTTCTGGATTAGTCAGTAACTTATGCCTCTTGGGAGGGGGGCGGGGGAATTAACACAGCTCACACCAGTTCCCCTCCCCTTTCCTCCTGACTTTTGTTAGAATTCTACTCTAGCTTGAAATTATGTTTTTTAATTTTATTGCTACTCTAAACACTATTTCTTGATTCATCAAATTTATATAATCAACTATCCCTCACCCTTAAACTATGTAAGAATAGGAAAGTTCATGTGCTCCTTTCCTTTTCCTCCTTCTCTCACTCCCAACCCTACCTAACCTCTAGCAACCATACCATTATTGCCATGGTTATTAACATTTACATTCTGTTCTGTAGCTATACTTGTCTCTACTTATCTTTGATTAGAGGTTGATTCCCCAATTAGTAATCAGCATTGACAGTATCAAGATTGTATAAATAGTATTCACTGCAGATCCCAGTAGTGGAGGATTATACCTATAAGGGAAGTGTCTGTCATAAACCTCTGCCTGCAAAAGGAGAATATTTCAAATGTGAAGCTCAGGTGGATTCTCCTTTGTGGCACCCTATCAGTTGCCCCAAATCAGGCCACAACTTCATTTGCTTCATGTTTGGACCATGACTTCTCATTTATCTATACATATAAAGAGATAATATGCTAATTGCCATTACAGTGTCCCCATAACTACCAATTTGCATATTGATGCGTGCGCAGCAGGGGCGGATGGCTGGAGCCAAGTTCCCCGGGGTCTGAGGAGATCTCCTAAACAGGAGCCTGGACTGCAAAGAAGGAAGAGGAAGCGGCCATGGGGAGCTCTTCCAATCCCCCTGCACGGACACCATACCCCAGCCCTCGTACCCCTGGGGGACAGGGAGGCTGACCAGATGGAGAGAAGACCCAACCTTGGGGTAGCTGCAGCCCGCACCTCCGACCCCGATCTCTTCCCCCGCCATCCCCACCAGGGGCACCCACAAGAATAGCACGGTGGAAACAGGCTTCTGAGACAACTTCTGACAGGCAGCCACTGTCAGCGCCCCTGAGGCACCGGGGCCCGCGGCCCACTGCTGCTGGGCCCCCTCTGCTGAGGCTGGGCACACCTCTCCTCCCTGAGCGGCCCCCCAGGGTCAGACCCTTGCCCCCCAACAGCAGCAGCGCTGTCTCCGCAGCGGAAGCGCACTGAACCTGGCAGGGGGCACAGCTAAAACCCACCCTCCTAGCCCATCTGGCTCTACCCTGGCCCTGCCCCCACCTGGCTCCAGGAGATTGGACCCCACCCTGAGCAGGTACAGCTGCGAAACAGCCACCTACAATTTAAAGAATGGCGCCAAGCAGGAAGGTTTGACAGTTATTCCCCATTCAGCTTTGCTGCCTCCCTAGTGCTCCCCTAACTCCCTGCCCCACCGCCAGTGCCTCCAGGGACAACCACCGCTACAGGGCTGCTGGCCAGAGTCCGCCCCTCCGAGGCCTGTGGAACCCTCTGCAAAGCTTCCATAGCTATAGTCCCAGGAAACAATCATGCCCTCCTCCCCTAATCAGCACCTGCTACCTGCGAGGGTACCCATGGGCTTAAAAATAACAATCCCTTCCTGTTTAGACATCACTTACTTGATGAAACATTTCTAGGTTTATTAGCTCAGAACCTCCTCATGACAACCCAGGGAGGTAGGTGGAGAAGAGATTACAATTCCCAGGGTATATGCGTATGTATTCAGAAATGAAGCTCAGAGAGGAAAAGTTTCAAGCTCACTGGTTCCCAAGGTGTAGCACACACTCCACAGGGGGGCAATTTGATTTTAAGTGGGAGCAATTTGAGAATGAGTTAACAGTGATTTTTAGGCCCACTAAGCCATCAGTCGGACATTCCCCCAGAGCTCCTGGACTGCTGGAGGGCGCCTAGGTGCTTTATAAAACTCATGGCTCCTTAATACTTAGTAGTATCTACTAACCAAGACTTCTCAGGCGCCTTTCTTTCCTACACATCCAAATAAAACAAAATAAGGTCTAAAAGCCCTAGCCAGTTTTGCGCAGTAGTTAGAGCCTTTATCCATAAATTGTTTGCAAGAGGTAGAGCTTAATTCCTCTCCCCTGAGTGTCCCTACCAATGAATAAAAATATGGCAAAGTGACAGTGTATGACTTCTAAGGAGAGGTCAAAAGAGGCATTGTGGCTTCCTCCTTGCTGTTGGAACACTCATTCTGGGAAAGGCCAACAGCCATCTTGTGGGGACACTCAAACAGCATGTGGCATAAAAGTGTGACCTCCTTCCAACACCCAGTGAGGCATGGAGACTTTCTGCCAACAGCCTCAGCTCTGAGTGTGAGCCTTCAGATGCCTGCAGCTGTGGGCAGATTCCTTGATTGAAATCTCATAAGAAAGTACTTAATTCCTCACTCACAGTAATCTTCCTATCTAATAATAGACAAACATGGTAATTAACCATACCTCCAACACGCTTCCCATTGGCTAATCAGGGTGATATGCAAATTAGCTGCCAACCAAGATGGTGGCTGGC